TGCTGGTGAGCATCTATACTTGAGAAAAGCATGGTTCCTTTGTCAAGAAAGGTAAATTCTTTCTCTGGCATTTAATAGGTTACTCTCGGAAACAAATCCAGGAACTGATGCACAGGGCCTTTAAACATTGCCTTTCAATAATTCTTAAGGGTTGATGGGGCAAATCAGGGCAAGACTTCTATCACAGAGACCCTTCAAAGCCCCTTTAGACCCATCAGAGTCTCCATAGGAAGTGGGGCCAGAATGAAGGAGGCAACGGAGGCAGGGTCACGCGGGCTCAGGGTTGGATCTTGTCTTCATTTCAGATTGTGACATTTGGTTCATCATCGACTATTACTTTGATTCTGGTTTTTTAAATGTTGCATTAAAATATTATTTGCCCTGATTATTGAGATTTGGGCCACTTCAGATTTTGTGCATGAGGCCTCACCCCTGGGACGCTTGTCCTGGTCTCGCTTAGGGAGAAGATCTCCCTGCTGATGGCTCAGTGGCAGAGAGAGAATATGTTTGAGTTTGGGGAAAAGAAAGCAATGATTTCACTGGGAGAGTATTCAAAATTGAAAAGCAGCCAAGTATTACACAACTGCTAATATTTTCTTCTGAATAACTGTGATGGAATTATCTTTGTCTTGTGATAGTTTGTGACTATGCCATGAAATTCTTCCTATATAGAAAAGCTCATGCTTTTCATGCCCTAAAGCTATAAAGACAATGATGAAGAACCAAGTGACAGATATTAACAGAAATGTTAATTGTCCCCAGGGAAGGAAGGAATGTGGCTTTTGGCCAAAATGAGAGGAGGAGGAATATGGGTCTTCTGGCTGGATTTGCTCCTGCATCCTTGATGAATTTAAGTAAGGTCATTTATACTTTCTTTGCTCCCTTTGAAAATCAGGAGTTCTCTTCATGATTGAATTATTGTTGCCGGTTTATAAAAAAAAAATAAATGACATTTTTAAAAAGGACAGAACCAAAATTGCTTAAGAAAAGTCCCTGCTCCCATTGCTGGTAGCAGGCATAGTTAGCCCTGAATACAACAGTAAATCTTCTTTATTCCATCTTATTTTCCTAGAAAGAGGACAGATTAAATAAAGTTCTAGAACCGAGCTAACAATTCAGTGCATGTAGCTAGTCACGCTTGCTTAAATTTTTGACCATTACTTGCAGGACTCAAAATAGATATTGACATTCTACTTGCAGGACTCAAAATAGATATTGACATTCATCGTCCAATTATTCTGAAAGGACTACATTTCTTTTGTATTGGAGAGAATAAGTAATTTTCAAATAGGCAGAGCATGTAATAAAATTTTGTTAGGTGCAGTGCAGATGAACAAAATGATCAGACTTGGGTTTTATGGCACATATTCTAGAAGGATAGAGGCATAAGAGAGAGAAATCTTGTTCACACAGCTTAATGTCATAAATTATGAAAGTAAAATTCTTAAGAGCAAAATAGCACAGTAAAATTATAAATTAACAAATATAAACACTTTAAGAAGTCACGGGGACTTAAAAAAAATAAGCCTGATAGTTGATAGAGATCACTTCTATTTTGAAGAGTAAATAATTCAGGTTTTAAAAATAATAACATCTAAAGTTTAAAACATATCATATTGTTTAAATCACCCAAGTCCTTCAGGAACTAGCCTACCTTGGCTGTGTACTTTGTAATGTCCTGCAGATGTTATGCTCACTTAAGTTTATAAATGGCAAAATAACCACCTTTTTTAAAGTGGGACGGCATCCGTCAGGGAATCATTCACTTATGGAGTGGTCACTGAGACCCAGAGACATACTATTTATTTGATGAATAGAGTCTGTTGCCATTCCTGCCATTTATCCTTACAGTTTTCAAGACTCCTTCATTCAATGCAATAAACTCTATGTCAGGCTTTTAGGTCTGATTCAAAATCCACTTGTAAAGGGAGGTTCTGCTACTATCAAAAGCCTTTGCAAGGCCATAGGCTGTCATAGAAGAGGTTTCTATAATAAATTACAAGGTGATTTTTTTTTTCCATCTCTAAATCTAATAGCACAGAAATGACTGTTTTGGAATTGGGTAACAACCAAGGAGGTACAGAGCAAATAAAAAGACTTCAACTAGTACTGTAGGGAATAGGTAAAACACAGGGATAACTGGGAAACCCAGGTTCTTTTTACCTTCCTCTCTACAGCCATAGGCTATCTGTAATTTTTTAATGACTATCAAGTATAAGCCCTCTTGGAGACCTAATGATGTAAAGGTAGAAAGAGGCAAATCTGTACTCAATAAAACAAAACATTGGATTAGAGTATATTGATAAAATAAAATATTCATGATATTAGTTTATTTTCTATTGAATTTATTAATAATCTTTATATATATTTATATATGTATGGCTTTGAGCAAAGACAAAAGAAATACTCTAATTCGTCCCTGATCATACAGTTGTTGTAAGAATCAGCTTTTCTACTATTTTCCCAGCAGCAGAAAGACCAATCTTTTCAATAATACATTTCTTTCTGTACAGATTAAAACTCCATACTTATGGGCTTAACTATGTACAGAGAAAAGAGGTCACTTTTCAACTAGCAATGGACTTTTATATTACAGGAATGTGAGTCAATTTTTTTCTTAACCTAAGCATTTATATTCATACATATATATGTATATAATTTACCTTGTACCATTTTTTTTTAGTTTAACATATAAACCTTAGTTTTTTGTCCATTCTGTTACAAAGTGAATAAAAATTTTATGGTTGCACTGAAAGACCATGCAATTCAATTTTGCTTGTGTTTCCCAATAGTGCTCAAAATAAAAAACCAAAAATTTATATATAAAAATATTTCACTACCAAACCCATTAGTGCTATCAAATGTAAACCTTTAATAATTTAAAGGACCAATACATGATCTTAATAAATTGAAGTTAATTCTCAATATTTTAATAAAATAAAGGAGTTTTGTATTGATATGTAAATGGTCTTGCAGCTTTCCCATAGGCTCTGGGTAGACTGAACAATCCCCTTCTTACACCATTCCTGACATGCCATCAGATATCACCAGCATGTTAATGACATTACATTGACTAGCATAGTTGATTACTTCCACACAAGCTGGGGTCTGTTAGAAAGGAAACATAACAACTCATTTTGGTAGTATAGGTATTATATCCATAAAAGGCATAACAGGCAGCATGGATCCATTTTAGAGTTTTTGCTTTTTGTTTTGTTTTCTGTCCTCAAGTCTGTCTGGAGGCCCTGCCCCGTTTAATGTGTGATCTTTGTTAAGTTCTTCTTAAATGCATCGCCAGTGTCAAAGATACTGAAGACCTCCATTTTAGGTCATTCTCTTTAACTTGGGTTATTTACAGAAGTTGGTTATTAGGAATCTTCCAATTGTGTTCCAGTCATCCACCACATTTGTGGGATGCATTAGGCACAAATGATTACTAAGGGACTTCTCTGAGAAGAAGCGGATGTTCACAGATCATGGAGAGTTAAGGAAACAGACAAACAAACAGTGCTCACATTCAGTTTGCCCCCTGCTTTCTGTCATCACATCCATACAATTTCCAGCACATTCTGAGTAACGAATCTCCTATCTAAGGGCTATGTTAGTCATCACATGCCTTAAGATTTACTAACCATTTTATTACAATACACATAGAACAAAGCGTGTGTTCCCAGACATGATGCTATTGTGTACTTAGTTATTTTAAATGAACACCAGGGTAAACTACCAACTACCAACAGTGAAGACACAGAACACACTGGCAACTCCAATCAAGCTGTGGTTTACAAATCATTACTTAAATAATAGTAATAATAGTAATAATATTAAATGAAAGTGAAAACCTCACTTCTAGACTTAAGTCAGAGATCCAAGTCAGCCTTACAGGAATTTTAAGATAGGCAATTAATGAGTGGTTATACTTTTCTAGAAATGAGAAATACTGGAAGCCTCTCCCTACAGTGACTGATCTGAACCTATTTTTTTTTTCCCCCAAAAAGCATGCAGGGACTATTTTCAGATGCTTGGTTATGGCAAGAAGGAAGAAAAGTAATGATTTTTGGTGTAATACAAGCAATCTGTAGAATTGAGCATACAGTTTTGCATAAAACATTGCAGGTTAAAATAATATTGTAGGTTTCAAGCCATTGCATTACAGTTGAATAACTGTCACAATTAGGTTTTGTAAAATTTCAAACTCTAAGTTTTGAAGTGAAGCAATAAAACTAAATTCTTAAGTGATGACTTTTACCTTCATACAGCACAGAATAGCTATTTTTATTTGGGTTGAAAAAGTTATTTACAACTAACATTGAGTCTTGGTAAAAGTCCAATAACACATGAAGACAAATATCCCCTCAGCGTTCTGAAAGGTCAATGAACATGTTTGAAGTTAGAGATATTCCTAATGGTGGCAATGTTAGTCTCCAACTGTGGCCAAGCACACCGTGTATTCTGTAACCTAATTCAAAATTGAAAGCACCAAAATACAATTTGGATCTATAAAATGGGACTTGCTATTTAATCTCCATAACTAATGATTAACAATTTAGATGCAGAAACACAGCTCATGAAAGAAGTTTTGGTTGGTGCTATTCAGTAGCTCACTTGAGTTGCCTTTTAAAATCAGAGTTTTGTTTCCACTGAATCCAAGAACTCTTCATAAAGTAGAGAAATACATACATATCAAAGGAATTCAGTAAAAGTAGGTTAAAAATAAATGATCTTACAACAACATTTTAAATCCTTTAATGATTTAAAGAAAGGAAGACATATAACACTGAATGCTAAACAGGTCTTTTGAACTTCTCTTGGGAATTTAGATAGATATTTAATAGTAGATATATATTTATATATTGTACATTTTGCATGTAGGCCAGAGCTGTCTAAAATATCTCTTCATAGTAGGCTATAGGAATCTATCAGGAGATAGAATAAAATAAGATCTGAGGAGATTCTCAGTTTATTAGAGTATTTCTTTCTGCTTTGACAATCAGCAGGGATCATAAATTTGAAGCAAATCGTGGCTTTTCTGCCTCTGGGTCTGTAGTTAAGACTGAGGAAGACTCTCTCGGAAGAGCAGCTGCTGGTGGAGGGGGTGCGGGAGGGGCTCCTCGGTTAGGGGGAATGGCTCCCGAGGACATCTGTCGGAACAGGGTGACTCGCGGGGGGACGGTGCCCCTGCCCCCCGCCTGCAGGCCCGGGCCGTGAACGGCGGTCACGGGCTGAGGGATGGAGGCCAGGGACTCGCCCACAGTGGGATGAGGTCTGGAAATGAGAGTGGAAACCTCATGGGGCAGCGAGGGCTGCGAGGCCGACAGGGGCCTGACTTCCCGGGTCAGGCTGGCGTTGTGCAGCGCCTGCGTGCTCCTGTGCACTTCGTTTTTCGGCGTGGAGCTGCCGGGCGTCTGCGGCTGCGGGGGCGGCTGCGGGGGCTGCGGGGGCGGGGGCTGCTGGAGCTGCTGCTGCTGCTGCTGCTGCTGCTGCGTGAGGGACAGCTGGGACGCAGTGGGGGAGGCATAGTGGAAAGTTCGAGTGGCCAGCGGGCTCTGTACGGGAGGGCTGCAGACCGCGGTGGTGTAGGAGCAGGGCGAGAGGATGGCGGACGGCTGGGGGGTCTGCGTGCTGGGGCTGGGGGAATGCAGGTTGCTGTGGGACAGACTGGTCGCTGTGTACACCGGCGGAGACTGTGTCCTCATGCGGGAGGTCGGAGTCGTGGTGGAAGAGGTGGAATTCAGGGCTGTCATCTGGGGGTAATTGATCGGAGCGATCGCCTGCACCATCTCCCGGTCGTGCTTCACTATCTGCTTCAGGATCTCGTTCTCCTGATTGTTGAAAACGCCAGTGTTCAGATCCTTCTGGAACTTCTGCAGAAGAATGGAATTTTTCTTTCCTGTCAGCGGAACAAACAGAGCCACTTAGAAAGCTGCAGAGGACGGAAGACGAGCCCAGGGGAGAGTGGCTCCTGGAAACCCAAGTACGCCAGTGTTTCGCGGAAGACGCTTGAAAGCCAAATACTCACCTTTAGGCGCCAACGGAAAGGTGGCTCCTGCCCTTCACGCTTCCTGTATCTCTCTGGAAAATCTTACCTTCTATGCAAGTCAGGTTGAAGTCTGTAATAGATGGCAAAAGCCATCTTACAGGAGAGAGGGAGATAGCGGACGTGAGGGCTACTTAGAAGAGTGGGAGAAGAAAGGGTACTTGGATCAGGATGAGACTGGAATCAAAATTTAAGTTTAAAGCTACCTTTTTTTCAGGAAACTACTATGGAACACTTACTATGTGACAGGTACCCTACAGAAGACTTTAGACAGACTTACTGTGTTTAATCCTCAACTCTTGGCGGTAGATGTGTTTATAATCCTATTTCACCCATCTGGAGAAGGGGACATAGGAAGGTTGGAACCATGCCCAAGAGAAGCTGGTTACTAAGAAACAGGACTGCGGAAGGAAAACAGCAGATAAGATCGCAGACCATTCCTAAGAACCACGAACCAGCTGCAGGCATCGGTGTGACGGGAGCACCTTCTAGAAATGCAGTCAGTTAGGCTCCCTCCTACGTGGGGACTGAGATGCTGCATCTTACTGAGATGCTCAGGAGATTGTCACATGCAAATCTGAGGAGCCCTTGTGGCAAGTCTCTGCCTTTGAGGCGTGCTCTATGCCAGGGGTCCTCCACCAGACATTCATAGTCTTCTCATCTCTGGGGCTTTGAAAAATACTGATTTTCATCTGGTCCCTAGTAATTAAACCACAATAACCAGACATGGGGGCCAGATTTCAGATTTCAGTCCTTTCAAAGCGTACTTCCTCAGAGGACTTTGATGCACCAACAGGCTGAGAACACTTCATAATCCTTCCTTTTCCAAAAGGTCTTGGTGAGGATTAAGGGGCATCGCGTATGGCAGGTTCTCAGCTCCCTCTAGAACCTCAGTAAGCAACACCTCTCCTTCCTGCCATTGTCTTTGGAGTGCTTTGCAGTAAGTAGACATTCTCTGGCAGGATGATGACAGAATCAAAGTTAGATCAAGGAAAGGGGAAAATTAGTGACTTTTGGTGACATCATTGATAACATAATTCCCAGATAAATATCGTAACTGAAAATGAATGAATTTGCCATATTGCTAAATAAAGTTAGAGTTCGAAGGAATACTTTTTAGTGGAAATATATGTTATAATTTACTTGGATGCTGGCAAACTATCATTTTAAATGATTGCCGAAATAAATGTTCCTCCTTATAGAACTGTTCTAATTTTCTCAAGAACAAAAGCTCCTATATCCGTAATAAATATAAATGCTTATTTAGCATATTGCCTTAACTAAATATGGTCTATATATATGAGCAATAGCACAGAATGAAGGAAAATATTTCTTTGTGATCCTGTGAATAGTCAACATTTTGTAATGTAAATATCTGTGAACTTGTGGAGAAATAAAGATTTTAATGCACTGTTAGAATTTTATAAGGATCAAAACTGCAAATGCTTGGTGCTTATTAGCGATTTTATTGCCTGTGTTATTGAATGCAAACCATTTCATGCAAACTTTCTTATAAAAATTAACTGGAAAAAGTTAGATGAGAGTGAAGCTGATCAGAGTAACAGAAATTCTTTATTAAAATATCCTGATTTTCATTCAGGAGGGTATGTGAAATGGTGAGTGCTGTGAAGTGTGTAAGCCTGACGATTCACAGACCTGTACCCCTGGGGCAAATAATACATTATATGTTAATAAAAATAATTAATAAAAAAAATCCTGATTTTAACACTTTCTCTAAAAATGTCTAGCTGGCTAAGCAGAAAAACGCATGTGTTCAGAAATTAGTCTCTAGCTCTACCGTGAGCACTCACATACCACAAAGAGGTAAATTATTTTCAAATTAAATAAAGATGCTTTCAGGAATGCCCACTTTTATGGGCACTGTCTCTCTCGACACTATGTCCTATTATCTGTCTAAACTGTCAATATGAATTTCTGATATGTGTGTTATGTCTAATGATAATGTCCAAATACTACCTTTATTTCTCCTAACCTAATTTCAGAGCCTAATGCATCTGTCATCCCACTTCTGTAGAAGGAAAGATACAAAGTGCAGAAGAAAAGCTGACATAAGATTACATCAATCAAAAATCCTTACCTTTAATAAGAATGAAGGACTTGTTTACTTCCAAGTGATCCCAGCCCCATCTCGTTTGAGATCTTTGATTCCTGCATCCCTCCCTACAACCTCTCTTCAAGAATATTCATTGTGTACTACGTACTGCGAATGCAATAGTGAATTAGACGTGATCTCTCCATTTACAAATCTTAGCATCTTTAGAGCAACTGCAATAACAGAAGCAGTATTGTGATGGAGGAAATTCCTAGGGGGATGGGAGAACATACCCAGGTTACTCAGCCTAGGATTAGGAGCCGGTTAGGAGGTCACAGAAGATTTCTACAGGGAAGTGATGTCTAAACTCAGGTTATGACAATGGAGTAGAGGTAAGCAAGGAAAAGAGGCAGAGCATGGTAGGGTGGGGGAAGAGGATTTAGGTGTAGAAAATGAATGCATACACCTTCTCACATCAGAATCTTCTAGCATATCTTGGGAAACTAACAGCAAGCCAATCTGATCTAACTTGACTATAGCAATTCTTCAAATCTTTTAACTAGTGTAACTAATATAAGGTCTAATTTATATATTCTTATTGGAGAGCAGAGAAGCCTGTAAAATAAGTTGATGTTTACAAAGTAAAGCATCTAAGTTAGGTACTTCTAGCAAGGCTTTTCCTGCTTGAGTCTGTATTACAAACGTTTCCAGAAGTTTCTACAGAGACAATTAAAATGTACAAGTTTTCAGTTCTCAATATAAAACTAAAAATGAAAAGTTGATAATTTTTTTTTAAAAACCCTGCAGTAAAATTATTTGGTTTGTAATGTAGACTCATGCTATTATATTTTTAGTTCTATTTTAGTGCTACCTAAAATTTTTATCATTGCTTTTTACCTGAAGATTCAAATTGTTTTGTCATCACTGGGGAAATCAGATTGAGCAGCTAATAAAAATAGAGATGATTAAATAAACCCAGAATACTTAGATGAGAGAGTTAGAGAGTAGAAATAGGGCTAGAGCTAACTGCTAGTTCTATGCTAATTAATAGACAACCTATTATAGCATTTAGGACTTAGGATTGCAAATATATATCAGTCCACTAAAGTATAAATTGTACACAAAAAAGGTAGAAAACGGAAGAGAGTACCTATCCGATCTAGTCGGTCAATGGCAACCGTCTCGAAGGCTCGCCTCATCATTGGATATTCCTCTAGGACCTCGTTGAAGTTGTCCACAGAAAGTGAATAAAGACGACAGTATGTATCAGCTCGAACACTGGCAGTGCGGCGGCCCTTGGTCAGCAAGCAAATCTCTATCAAACCAAGAGAGAAAGACTTGTTTGGTAATTTACTTTCAAAGACCACCAAGACCCACAATTAAAAAAAAAAAAAAAGTCTCATGGTGTCATCAACCAACGATTGGCAGCATTTCCTATTTTATCAGTAAATTCCTTCTGGCAAAAATATCCAATTGACAATACTTAACCTTAAAATAATATTCATTGTTAAACAGTTAAATCTTTTAGTTCAAATGGAAAGCTGAAATGGAGTTATCTATCCTTCAGCCCTCATTCCAATCCATCTGAAATAACAATAAAAATGTAAAAAAGAGAATCATTAGTCCACAACGGAGTTGAACACTGGAAGAAACTGTAATCAGGGCGCCTGGGTGGCTCAGTCATTAAGTGTCTGCCTTTGGCTCAGGTCATGATCCCAGGGTCCTGGGATGCAGCCCCACATTAGGCTCCCCGCTCTGAGGGGAAGCCCGTTTCTCCCTCTCTACTCCCCCTGCTTGTGTTCCCTCTCTCTCGCTGTGTTTCTCTCTGTCAAACAAATAAATAAATTCTTAAAAAAAAAAAAAGATACTGTAATCAGACAAAATTTTTATTAAGTTTGGAAGGCAAAAAGCAGATCATATGATATAGATAGAAACCAAAGTGAACCCACACACTGGCCTAGAAAGTCCTATGATCAGGAAAAACGATCAGGTTTTGGGGAATGCATTCAGGCATGCCTTACATAAGGGGGATCTCATTCCCAATGAGATGGGTATAGAAAACTATATTCCAAATTCACAGAGAGGCTTTCTATTTCAATAATTTCTAAGAAAAATTCTTTTTGGAAAATTAGATTTCCAAAATTCAGTAAAGCAAACATTTACAAATTTGGATTTCCTTAGTTTCTAACTTAAATGAGTCTACAAGTGATAATTTTTTATTTCATTTCTCTAAATTTATTAATTAAACTCTATAGATTTTGATTTTTTAAAAAAATTAGAAATATTTTTAAGAAATTTAGTTTCAGGATAACCAGTTTGAAAAAAGAAATGGCAGAAGTATTTTTTAATACACAATTTCCTAACATAAGGAAATAATAGCAAAATAATTATTGAAAGAGGCCTAAATGCACACTTTTCTGAACTTTTTAAGTAAGTTCTGTTCACGCTGATAAACACGGTGAATAAATTATGTGGTAGGCATTATGCATTTGATGTTAGGGCTGGAAATGTGAGTCAAACATATTATCTACTTTTTGTTATTTCTATACTGATGATTTAAAAAAAAGATTTCTTCTTAATTGAGAGTTCATTTCAATGCAATCTGGTAAGAACAATAATACAGACTGTGGGTATTCTGGAAGTATTAAGAAGCACATTTGAACCAATCTGGGAAGATAGCATTTTAGGAAATGCCACTGAAGCAACCACTTATGTTGTTGTTCACGCTGGTAAACATGTAAATTTAATAAGTAATATTGTGAAGTGTTCACGTTTGTGTGCATGCATGCATCTGTGTGTAACAGTGTATGTAGAAAGATGAATCTATATTAAACATAAAGCATATTATCACATCATGGAATTTGCTGGTTACTCTAAAGAAGGTAATAAAAGAAGTATTTTTTAGCACTACCCCCCAATTAAATTCCTGTTGGTCACTAAAGTACTAATGCTATATCATATAATTTATAATTGGGACATTATGGTGAGTAAACTGATGGGAAACCCATTACTGCTAAGTGTTGCTTTCAAATCTGTGCAACTTGTCATGTAGAATGGTTAGGCTATAAACCTCATGGAAAATAACCAGTGAGATGTAACAGAGATCTTAAAAAGTATACATAATCTTCAACCCAGAAATTTTACTGGACAATCTAACCCAAGGAATACTCTATAATTAGAGCAATGTTGGGAGATGGAGTGGAGAAGTGAATTGGGGGAAATCGGAGGGGGAGACAACCCATGAGAGACTGTGGACTCTGAGAAACAAACTGAGGGTTTGGACGGGAGTGGGGTGGGTTGGGTGAGCCATGTGGTGGGTATTATGGAGGGCACGTATTGCATGGAGCACTGGGTGTGGTGCATAAACAATGAATGCTGGAACACTGAAAATAAATGAAATAAAATGGGGGAAAAAAAGAACAATGTTTACATGGTAATACATATTTATTTAATAGCATCTGAAAATGTGAGCATGCCCTAAATGTTTAACAAGTCAAGATACAACCAAGTACATGGCCACTAGATGAACTATGTGGCATTTATGAAAAGGGAAGCTTTTAAAGTCAGTGTGATAACCATGAATGGTCATGAAAGCTTGAGTGAGAAAAGGATACAAGATTGTAATTACAGTCAGATAAAAATGATCATAAGGATAATAATAACATCTACCAATATGCCTTGCTCCAGATGAAAAACACTCCTTTATGCAGATGTGCATTTTTTCAATGTCTCTTTATATAAATTATTTTTATTTTGTGATGTGCAAAACTTATTTAAAAAACTAGTTATAAAATTAACATCTAAGTGCACAGAGTAGGAAACAAAAAACAAGATATGAGGGAATGCAAACCTGTTAGTAGTGATTAGGACAGTAGGAGGTTTCCTCAACTTTACCTTCCGTTCTTTTTCATATAGTTTTGTTTTGGCACTTACGTTTTTAATTTCCAAATGCTTTCCATTTTCCTATGTTTATTGCTTTCTCATTATATCCTTTTCTTTCATTATAGATGTAACGTGCACTATCTCCTGATGGGTGTTAAGAGTTCTGAATATGAATGACACAAATATGCTACAACATGGACAGACCTCAGTATGTTTCACAAACATAAGTGGAAGAAGCAAGACATGAGTCCACATGTTCTATGATTCCATATATATGAAGTATCCAGAGAAGGCAAATCTAGAAAGACAAATTATTGGTTGCTTGGGAGAGTTGGTGAGAAAGGAGATTCACGGTAAATGGGTCCAAGAAATCTTACTGGGGTGATGAAAATGTTCTAAACCTGATTTATGGTGATGGCTTCATAATTTAGTAAATTTAATAAAAAAATTAAATTGTACACTTGACATGGGTGACATATATGTAAAATAAATTGCAATAAAACTATGAAAGTGAAAAGAGAAACGGGCTTTTGTTTTTATATTTTATATATATTTTAGTGCCCTTCTGTTTTCTAAATTCTTTCTCTCCACTATTTCTGCCTCTGTGTCTGAGCTTTTCCTTGAATGTTTAATGGTTTCTTCAGGTAATCCATTGACATCCTTCCACATTTAAGGATGAAAAATCTGGTGATGTGGCGTAATTTGTTGATTTGGAGTTTCTCTTTAGAGCAAAGGGATAGGCAATTTGTTCTCTTATTTCCTTAAATTCTGGAACGGGGAAGGCTTTACTCTAGGGTCACTAATAAGTCCTAGTTGTCTGCCTTCTTCACCTGCTTTCAAAGAAGAAACTCAGGAGAATAAAATGCCTGGTTACAGGCTGCTGGGCAATGTGGAGTGAGGGACAGATAACACTTTGTATCACATGCAGTCTTGGGTAGGGCCCCTGTTTTCTCCCTCACTTTTCATTTGGCTCTCTGTAGTCCTAGGGTCTCAGCTGGGAGCCATTCTTGGGTTCTGCCAGGAGATCTGCTCCTTCCCTGGCTACAGTCTTTCATATGTATATTCCAAGTTCCCTCTACTTTCCCTTCAAGTTTCATCAGTAACCAGCAGCATACTTAAAACAAATTTTTGGCTTAAACAACTGAAATTTTATGTTATCACAGTTCTGGATAACTGTTTGTTATTGTTTCCTTAATAAAATTCTTCAGCCATTAATTCTTGGCAATAATCTCGTAGTGAGAAACAGAACAAACGAAGGTGTACTCATTAGCAGAGTGAAGGTGTACTCACTGGTCAGTGTGAAAATCACTTTGAATAGTCCCTCCTTTTAAAGCTCCAAAGTCTTTGTTTCTACCATGAATAACAAAATTAATACATGCCAACAACTTAGCAATGAAAAAAGCAGACTTCTGATTGGAAAGGAGTCTTAGATGTCATGAAATGAATTTCTAGACTCAGTATGTGAGTGGAGCAGCTGCTTCTCTGTGAATTAATTTTTGATTATTACTAAGTTCTTTTGGAGATCTGCTTATTGAGGGAAGAGAGTCCTGTGTCAGATGTTACAGAGTTTTTGTGTATTTTCTGTGTGTGTGTGTGTGTGTGTGTGGATTTGGGTTTGGATAAAAAACATAAAGAAAAGCCATTTTATTCATCTGTATCTCATACTATCCTTGAGGTTCCTAACAAATTATGGATATATAGTTTGTCACTACTTTTATTTTCTTGTATTGGATTTTCTAATTGTTTCCTTAAAATTACTTATCTCCCTCACTGGTTTGACATTTTAAAGACAGCAATTATACAGTGACATTGTTGTATCCCTCCCGGAGACTACAACCTTGAGTTTTGAACCCAGAGAAAATTATTTTAAAATGCTTATGAGTACATCAATGATAGTGGATGAACCCAAGGTCCACACTAAGTTCTATTCTTAAGTTTTCAACAGTGTAATATTGGTTTTCCTGCGAGGTATCTCCCCTTTGTAACAGAACTTGCCAAATGATTTATGTGCTTTCGCTAAGCAACACAACACATCTTTGTGGGTTTTGTGCAATATCTGTAATGAAGAAAGTATCTAGACTGCTTGGTAATATTTTCTTCAACGTAGATGATATTGTTTCTCAACAGGTAGAAAACTAACTTGCTTTTGGGTGCTCAGATGACTTCACACAAAAAGTAAAGTTCACAATGAAATAAAATTGAAATCCCAAAGAACAAACTAAGTGTATCTTACAGATATAAGTTTTTTTTAAAAGAATATTATGACACATTTTCTAGACCATGTTGATGTTCCAATCTTCCTACTTCTCCTTGTTTATTTACTTTTCAAGAACTGAACTGGGAATTTCCCAGTGGTGCTATCACTGTTTTAAGAATTTCAGTGCAAATTTACTTGGAAGTAAGTCCCTTTAGCTGGATATAAATTTCTAAATT